GAAGACGGGGGCCAGGTGAGGTTACTGAGTGAGGTCAGCAAGACGAACCTCACTGACATCAGGTCGGCCCTGCAAAGTCTCCTCTGTGTGGACTTGGGGCTTGCAGTTTTCCAGTTCTCGGACAGCTGAAGGAGATCCAGGCACACAACCAGAAGGTTGTTCCATTTATGAACATCCCGTTATTTCCCGAGGCAGGCGCCCACAGGACCTCTGAGAACGGGCATGTGTTATGACACTGGGACATGGTGAAGTATCAGCCTGACACACAGGCGGCTCAGAGGACACCTTCTTGCTCTGTGTTGTTAGAGGATGTGTAGATTTAACTCCAGTTCCTGCTGCTGTGCTGAGTGACAAGGCCAGGTGAAGGTGAACTCGGGCCAGATGGAGCAGAGAAGGCTGATACAGTACCCACACCTGCTGGGACAGGCTAGCAACTCTTTCTGCCAGAAGGAAGACCCATTCGATATGCTGGAGACAGTAAACACTCACCATCCAGGGCCCAGCAGGGAGGAGACGGTCCCACTGAGCTGGGGGAGTGTGTCATCTTCAGAGACGGAGACCCGTCTTGGCAATGGGAAAGTCTGGTATGTAGTAGGTAACATGGCTCTCTGCACCTCCCTCACCAGGTTTAGAGAAGAAATTCTCTAAAGTCAAGGGCAGTGGGAAGCTCACTAGGCCAGGAATGGGATCCAGAAGAACATGAGAGAGCCAGCTCTGAGAACTGGGCCGTGCCTCTCCCTGGGCTCTCAGCACCCTGACCTTATTCACTGTATTGCAAGTGTGATTCTAATGATGCCCTGTCAGCCCATCAACAGTGAGTCTAGATGCCAGGGCCACCTCCGGTATCCCTGTGCTCCCGGTGCCAGCAGACTGCTCGGCACATTGGCGGGGCTCGGTGTTGAATGAGCCGGGCGCTTGCTGTGGAGTCCCTACATAGTGACCCGGAGCTCCTCGCTGAGACCCCACCTGGCCCTGAGCCTGGATAAAGGTGACCTGCCAGTGAGGTGTGTGGCCGGGACAGGCAGGGCCCCGCGATTCACAGCTCTCTGCACGGGTTGTCATTGTCACAGGTGTTAGAGTGGTGGGGGCTTTGTTTTAATCAAGAAGGAGATAGAAAAAAAATTAATGCTTATGTTTAGGGTGTTCAGCAAATGACCATGGCCTGCTCCAGTGTTGGATTTCCTCCAAGTTGTCTTGCCCAGGGAGCGATTTTCACACCAGTTTTGCCACCCAGAAAACAGTTTCGCTTATGCCTCCTTTTTCAACTTCAAATGGGGGCTCGAGGCCCAGAGAATTCCTCTCAAAGTGTTTGTCTGTCACGTGACCCAGGAACACCCTGGAGCCATGTACAGAGGAGCCAGCAGAGAGGAACAAGGGTGCTGCCAGTGGCCCCAAGGAAGAAGGCTGGGATGGGGCCAGGGTGGGCTTGTGGATTCAGCCTTCTGAGCAGGGGAACAGTCCCACTGGAGAAACTGCTCCCTGCAGAACCAACATACAGGGTGATGAATCGTCAGACTCTTGGAGGAAAAGTTCATCATCTCAGGTGTCTTGGTGCAAAAAAAAAAAAAAAAAATCTGTGCATGTTTGCCTACAAAGAACAGGCCAAGTGAAGTCATTCATCGTAAAAAATGATGAGGGGGGACTTCCCTGGTGGCCCAGTGGTTAAGACTCTGCCTTCCAGTGCAGGGGGTGCAAGTTCAATTCCTGGTCGGGGAGCTAAGGTCCCACATGCCTTGCAGCCAGAAAAACAAAACATAAAACAGAGGCAATACTGTAACAAATTAAAATGGTCCACATCAAAAACATCTTTAAAAAATAAAAAAATCAAAGAAGGCAAAGGGATAGTAGCCAAGCAAGGAGGCCCCAGGAGCTGTATTTGGCATGAGCAGGGGGAGCCACTTATGTCTGGTGGTTCTTTATCTCAGACAGAGCCCACTCTGTAACTGTCGACTGTGGGGATTGTAACAGGTCCCCTGGGTCCTGGGAGGCCCTGGCAAATGCATCCCTGTCATGGTGGACACACAGGAGAAAAAAGCCTGCGATCTTCACACAAAGTCTTTGCTCTGACTTTTCACTTATCATCAGTTGTATTGCACTAGCTGGAGATTTACCATTAATTGTTAAGAATATCATGCTTTGTTCCTGAAACAGAGGTACTAGAATTTCACATGATAGAAATGCCATAGAAACAATATAATAGGACTTGATTCTAGCCGAGGTCTGATACACCGTTTACAGGAATGATCAGAAATTGCATGCTAACCAATGTGTCAATGAGAAAGGATGTCTGAACCCTGCCCAGGGTAGAGGCAAGGTGTATATAAATCAGCTACATGGGACAATACAGTAACTAATGATATAAAATTTCTGTGAGAGGTCCCCTGAAGCTAGGGGAACCGCCTTCCCCCATACACAAGAGGGGGGCAGTGCTAGACACTGCAGTATGGGGCAGAGTGTTCCAGGAGTTGGTCATCTAGGTCATGTGCAGCAAGCTGTGTCCTGCAAGGTTGACCGGAGACCATTATCATCAGGATTTTGGGCACCTTTGTGAATCAAAGGGCTGTAGAACAGTGGGACCCCTGTGGTCAAAGAGACCCCTCAGCACGGATGACATTCTCTGCACCTTCTCTGGCTGGGCCTAGGCTTCATCACAGGCCAGACCCTGGAACTGTGGAATCACAAGAGGTCAAATACAGAGGCCTAAAGCTATTTTTAACCCCTCTCTTCCCACTGCCCCTATCCTGTACAATACATGATCATCATGAAACTGAAAAACCAGGACATTTGTAAAGAAAAGAGAATCTAAATGCCATTGACCTGGGGAAAGGAGACACATGGCTACTTCTTTCTCTGTTGGGAATCTCCCCTTTCACCAAACTCCTCTGGATAATAAAAAAGTTGTATATGCTTCTTGCCCTGGACCAGTGGATTATTGCCATGAAGGGGGGTTAGGAAAAGTCATTCTGACATTCTCCAGGTAAGAATGGCCTATGGCCTGCATGGAACAAAGTTATACCACATTAATATCCACATCGCAAGGCTGCTTCCACTTAGGGCCTCAAGTGGTTGCAAAATCTTAAAGAAAATAACAGACTCATTTATTTAGGTTTATTAAACATATCCCCAGCCCTTCCAGGACATATTGATGACAAAGTGATGTATTTGAGGGCATGAACAGCAAGTACTGTATGAAGGCAAAATGTGGGTCTGTGGTCAAATTTCTGTCCGAATTATGATGATGATATTGGTGATGATGATGCTGATGATGGAGTGTGTGTGTGTGTGTGTGTCTATGTGTGTAAAGTTTCTACTTTATAAAGCAGTTTCACAACGAGACTTTGATTTTTTTTACACCCAATTTCCTGATATATGGGTCAGTGGGCTTTTCTAGAAGGAGGTTTATTTAACAATTGCTCCCCAAAACAAAGGACATTGAGGAACTCAATCCCCAACATAAAGAAGATGGTGCCTATTTTCACTAGGCTGGTAAATACTGAGAAGTCAGTAATTTTCACCGTAGTTCCCTGCTAAAGCCTATGGGATCTTTGGAAACCTGTGAAGAAAGGGCCCTCCTGCCATGGGGTCAGCAGATCTCAGGTGACTGAGCGCAGTGGTCAAAGGACCTTAGTGTTCCAACCCCTCATTTGGAACGAGGGGGATAGACGCCTGGGGAACTCGCCACCACTTCCTGCCCCACCCCTCCCCTCCCCAGCTGAACAGTGACAGACATTCTGCTTTGGTTGTGATGGGCTGAGATCAAGGTCTGTCCCGAGGACGGAAGCTGCAAAATAAGTCCCAGAGCCCAGGGCCTCTGGCAAGGACAGGCACAGTCCCAGGAAATGGTCAGGTGAGAGCAATCAGTCATGTCTGGGATGCGGGCACATATTTAACATGCAATTTGCATCACTTCCTGTACTGTCTGCCCTAGGAATTTCCAAGTTGGCCCTTTCTAGAGCAACTAGTATTTGAAATGAGAGGGAGGAAGGAATACCCAAGGATAAGAGGGTAGAGAAAGTAGGTTTCTTAACCTGGATATGGAATAATTTTAGGCCTCAGGGGAGGCCATGTTGTTTAGACTTTTTTTGGTGGATTTTTTAAAAATTGGAGTATAATTGCTTTACAATGTTGTGATAGTTTCTGTCATACAACAATGTGAATCAGCTATAAGTGTACATATATCCCCTCCTTCTAGGACCTTCCACCGTCCCCCAACCATCCCATCCCTCTCGGTCTTCACAGAGCACCGAGTTGAGCTCCCTGTGCTGTCTTTCCCCACTAGCTATCTCTTTTACACATGGTAGTGTATATATGTCAATGCTAATCTCCCGATTCATCCCACTCTCCTTTTCCCGCCCTGTGTCCACTTGTCTTTTAAACACAAAGCACAGTTGCCCTTAGAATGGCCTCAGTAACCTTCCTTGCCCATCATCCAGGATTCTCACCATTCACACTGTCTACTTATTGCTTTTTGCCCTGACACTCTTCCAGGAGGGTAGAAAAACCAGAGGAAGAATGGAGTTGGGTGGGAGAGGGGAGAGGGGCAGGACCAGCTGTAAAGTCAGGCCAGGGCATCAGAGATCATCCTGCTGAGACTGGTACCAAGAGCCCCGGGTTAGCACAGCACGGACACCTTGAACTGCAGAAACTTCAGGGCACCTCAACCCAAAATAGCTTCAGGCTGGAGGAAGGGCCAGGAGGGCAGGTGTGTGGCCTCCGAGGAGAAGCTCACTGTTGAGGGCAGACGCCTCCTCCTGGTCTTAGGGGTGGGGGGAGGTCCTGGTGGGGTGCAGCCAACAATTTTTCCTTCTCCAGGGTGTGCCCTGTGCTCGGGCCGTACAGGCTGCGGCCCTTCAGGTGGCCTCTGCAGGGGGTCCCCCACCCCTTCGCTGGAGGGAGACTTCAAAACCCGGGCTGAGGTCCTCTTCTCCATGGCCGAGGCACCCCAGGCTCACAGCTGCAGTGACGCTCTGGGCCGGCGTGTGGGTCCTGGGCATTGTGACCTCAGCTGTTCCACCCACAGAGAGGTGGCCATCCTGCCTGACCTTGGCCTGTAAGCTGTCTAGGACAGCGGCCTGGTCACAGGGGCCCGTCGAGGGGAGGTTGGGAAGTGGAAGAACACTCTGGCCTCCTCCATCATGTCAGCCAAGAGGGCGGAACTGAAGAAGACAAGTCTGGTAAAGGAGAAACGGTGGCCAACGTGGGGCGCCTTTGAGCTCCCACTGGGTGGAGGTGGGGGTGGGGGTGTGGGTATAGAGAGTCCCCAGCAAATCCTCAGCTTTTCCTTCTCCCTCTGAGCACGAGGTAGCCTCTCAGCCTGGAAGGAGGGTGGGGAATGGACCCTGGGCCTTGAGGTGGCAAGGACTCCCCCGCTAGGACGAGGAGCACTGAAATGGCCCACCCCAACTCCGGCCACTCTGGGATCCACGACCCCAGCAAGGTCTACCTCTGACCCGCATGTTTAAGGCATAGAAGAAGCCCATTCAATAAGGGTAATTATCACCCACAATTTAGATTAAGAAATAAAGGCTCCGAGAGACTAAGTAACTTGCCTATGTTGACACAACCAGTGAGGAGGATGGCTGAGACTAGGATTCCAGTCTGTCTCTCTACCTCCAAATCAGTGCTCCCGAAAAACGACTTACCCAGCTTCCTTCAGTTATCTCCAAGTGCTCTTACCAGCTCCCCCATCCCTGCCCCCAGCAAGAAGAGGGCAGCCTGCTGAACAGGGAGGTTTTACTCATGAGAGGACTAGAACAGGACAAAATGTGAGTTGTCTTGGCTCACGAGCTGGGGGCATGTGGGCCTGATCTGAAGTGCAATTGGACAGGCAGGGTGGGGTGGGTAAGGGGTCCTCCCCAATTTTTCTCAGTCCTCCCCAAGCCTCCCCGAGCTCCCCTAGTCCTCCCCAAGCCTGATACCTGGCAGCCTGAATCCCACCTTCCCTCTCCGCAGAGCAAGAACTACAAGGCAGTTTGCCTGGAATTGAAGCCGGAGCCGATCAAAGTAAGAAGCTTTTTTGATGCCATCCCGGCATCCAGGCCTGAGACCCATGGGGAGGTGACTTGGAATCAGGGGTCATTCGCCATTCCTGGTGGCCAAGACTTTTTCCAGGTGCTGGCAGATACACAAAAGAGAGAGAGAGAGCACTCTGCTGTCATAGAACAAAGCAGAGGCATAAATAAATGAGGAAAAATCTGGTAGCATTACCTACGATACAGGAGATTGAAATAGGAAGATGAAACTGGGTGGCTACTGTAGGTCTGGGGGGTCTGTCAGGAAAGGCCTTCCTCAGCGTGGAGAGGACAAGGCTTGGTCACTGGAGGGCCAAGGATGAGCACCAGGGCTGGAGGAAGCCACACGTCCAGAGGCCCTGTGGCGAGAATGATCATGACTGCCATGGGGATGGAAAGCTGAGGCCCAGCGGGTCAGGAAGGGAGTGGGATGAGATGGGATCAGACAATGGAGAAGGACTGAGGGAACTCTGGTGCTGGTGGGGCCAGAACACCAGCTCTCACCTCTGCCCTAGCCCGAAGGGAGGAGCCGAACCTAGGGGGGAACCTCTCTCGCCTCAACTGCCCACACTGGCAATTTCCAATATTCCATGTTTCTGTTTTCAACCAATAGACATATGACTACAAAGGAGCTAAACAAGAAGGGCCATTTACCAAACCAGGAGGAACAAAGGAGCTAAAGGTAGGTGTGGGGACCCTGGAAGCAGCAGGTTGGGCCAACACAGGGAACAGGTGGGGCTGACAGGACAACCGCGGCGGCAGGTAAGCTGCTGCTACCTACAGTTCTGCCCCAGCCGCTGTGACTTCACTCCTTCTGCTTTTACCTTAAAATTGTTTCTGGCTTACAGAAAATTTTCCAAAAAAACGGTACAGTGAGTTCTAGTCTACTCTTCCCCCGGATTTCCAAATGTTGGCCTTTTATTACACTATTTTCTCTTTTTATCATACTCATACATAAATATATATTTACACACACACACACTATACATATATATATATATATATATATATATATATATACACATATATCCTGAACCATTTGCAAGCATGTGGTTCTCCCAAATATCAGTATGCATTTCCTCAAAACAAGATCACTCTCTTACACAGCCATAGTACAATCATCCAGATGTCAAAGTCAGGAGATTCATGTTGATACAGTTCTCATCTACAGCCCTTAATCTAATTCCCCCAGTTATCCCGCCAATGTCTTTCATAACAAAAGAGGAGATACATTTTTTTTGGTTTGGGATCCAATTCAGAATCACACCTGGCTCCCAGTTTCCATGTCTTTTTTCATCTAGAACAGTTCTACGACCTTGTATTCTGGGACACTGTCATTTTTGAGGATTACAAATCACTTATTTTGTAGAATGACCTCAGTCCAGGTTGTCTGATGCTTCCTCACCATTAGACTTAGACTGTGCGATTTTGGTGGCCACACCACAGCAGGGAGTGTGTGACCTTTTCAGAGTGCATCAGCACCTGGAGGTACAATGTGTCCCACTGCACTGTTTTCTTAACAGTGTCCTTTCTTCCCTCCCTGCTGGCAATGGTCTTCTGCTCCTCTTTTGGCCATGCCCAAGACCTTTCCTTTCCTTCTTTTGACTGTTTCCCTTCTATCCAAGACATTTCTTTACTCCTTCTCTCTTTTATTTCCTCAGGATGAACTCAGGGAAGTGAGGGAAGAGCTGAAGGAAAAAATGGAGGAGATAAAACAGGTAACAGGATGAGACTTTACCTCTCATGGAGTTACAGGGTAGTTTCCAGGAAAATGCAACATCTAACTTTGAATAGTGAAGGAATTCGGAAATTGCATGAAAGAGCAATCCAACTAACTGAGCCCAAATTCCCTAGAGTGCTTGTATCAGGCAGCTTAGGTTATTTGTTTCTTACATGTCTGAGGCTTAAATACAATTTTTGAATGATAAGGGCTGTCTAAGGTGTCTCATTGATTAGGATGGGGAGATACAACCTAGTGACAGAATGAGGGGCTGATTTGGAATTTGGAGGCAGTCAGGGACCAATTTCTCCTCCCCTGAGCAAGCTGCAGAGCAAGAAGTCTTGTTTCTCTGCTGAAATCACCTATAGCTTATTTGTGAACAAAGAAAATACTCAAGCAAGAATGTGCAATTGAAGCTGTGGTTTGAGTTCCACATGGCAGCCTTACCATGGCCAGATCCAAGTTATGCCCAGGCCGCTGCTGCTGGTGACTTGGTGGTACATGCATTTACACTTCACGGACTTTTGGCAAGAAGTGGCTTTAATAAGTCATTATTAGAACATCCCTTAAACTTTATCAGCTCATTCCAGGGGAGCAGTCACAGCACTTACCTTAAAACTCTTGAAAGACAACTCCACATTCAGTAATGTGCTGTGTGCCTTTCTTCCTCACTAGATAAAGGATGTAATGGACAAGGATTTTGATAAACTCCAGGAATTTGTGGAGATTATGAAGGTAAGTATTTACTGAATGCCCTCCATGGGCCAGGAATCATGGAAGGAGAAGCCAGAGCCTGCTCTCAAAGTGCTTACAATCTAGTAAGAGACTCAAACTCTATTGCATAAATAACAAGTAAGTACCAGAATTTGCCTGATAATGTAGGAGCCAAGGAGATGCGGGTTTGATCCCTGGGTCAGGAAGATCTCCTGGAGGAGGAAATGGCAATCCACTCCAGTATCCTTGCCAGGATAATCTCATGGATAGAGCAGCCTGGCAGGCTACAGTCTATGTGGTCTCAAAGAGTCAGATGTGACTGAGCACACAGGAGCCATACAAGTACAAAGTTGAATGATGACCGGATGTCACTTAACTAGGAGTTTAAAGACATGAGAAGTGAATGTGGACTGGGGTAACCAGAAAGTCATTTTAGAGAAAGTGAGTCTTTTTCTTTTTTCAATATTTATTTATTTGAGTGCCTCAGGTCTTTTTTGTGGCACACAGTATCTTTTTAGTTGCGGCACGTGAACTCTTAGTCGGGGCGTGTGGGATCTAGTGCTCTGACCATGGATTGAACCTGGGCCCCTGCATTGGGAGCACAGTGTCTTAGCCATTGGTTCACCAGGGAAGTGCCGTAGGGAAAGTGAGTGGTAAGGTGAGTCTAAAAGTTTGAAAGTTAAATGCAAATCTATCCAAGAGTCCAATAAGGTTATTTTTGAATTCAGTAATGACTAAAGAGATTATCTAGCTTCTAGAATAGCAGTTTTCAAACTTTGAGTTTCAGAATCAGTGGGAGCACTAATATAAGAAACAGAGTGCATGCAGGTCCTCGCACACTGGGGTTTCATTCATGTTCCCCAGGAAGAAATTTGAGAACAACCAATGTAAAAGCATAAATCGGCAAGTGCATTTACCTATAAATTTTTCAAGAGTTGTAAAGAGGCATTACCCTCACCAGATATTGAAGTTCATAATGAAGTCACAATAATCAAATGAAGGTGATACAGCCCAAGGATAAGCAGACAAATGAAATAAAGCAGCATAGAGAACCCTGTAACAGCCTCTCTGACAGGGATCACTTCTGTGGATTTCTCCAGTTCCAGGCCCTGGACCAGATGAACTGAATGAAAACCTCCAAACTGGGGCACCATTGCTCAAAATGCTGTTACATGATTAAGATGGTTACTTCTAATGAGAACCAGGTCCTTAGCACTTTAGCAGTAGTTGTTAACATTGGCCACACGTTGGAATCACCTGTACTGTGGTTTTGAGTGGCCTCTCTTTACAGCTGGCTGCACCCCATAACAGTTAAATCAGAGGTCTGGGCATTGGTAATTTTTAAAGATCCTCAGTTGATTCAATTCTATGCTCACAATTGGGCACCACAGCTCTATGAAATTTAAAATACAATAAAGATGATTTTTAAAATTATCAGTGAGAAGGAAAAGATTATTAATATTAAGAATATTTATATGATGAAATATTATTCAACTATAAAATTAATGAAGTAATGTCATTTGCAGCAACATGGATGGACCTAGAAATTGTCATACTCAGTGACCTAAGTCAGAGAGAGAAAAACAAATATCCTATTACTTATATGTGAAATCTTAAAAAAATGTTACAAATGAACTTTCTTACAAAACAAAAATCCAGCCACAGATGAAGAAAATAACCTTATGATTACTGGGGGGAGGGGCAGGGGAGGAGGGATAAATTGGGAGACCGGGGTTGATATATACATACTACAATATAGAAAACAGATAACAATAAGAAACTACTGTATAGCACAAGGAACTCTTCTCAATGTAATGACCTACATGAGGAAAGAATTTTACACAGTGTGGATCTATGCTTATCTGATTCACTTTGCTGTATTGCAGAAACTTTAATAAAATATTGTAAATCAACTATACTCCAATAAAAATTAAACAAAAAGAATAATATTGTCTGATTATATAAGGGAAAAACTTAACTCAGTTAACACTATAAACTGAATTAAAAAAAGAAATTGTATGTATTTAACTGAATGGTCTAAATATAATTACAATAAAAGAAATCATAAAAGAAATACTGATATGTTTAACTATATAAAAAATTTAAAAATCATAACAGGAAAGCACCACACACATAATTAGAAAGTACACAACAGTTTGAAGGAAATAATTTTCCACAAATATGATCGACATAGACAAAAGGTTTTTATCTATAACATATAAAACTCACACAAATCATTAACAATCGAATAGAAAAATGGGCAAAGGTATGTGAACAATCCACAGATAAGAATATTACTAAAAAGCAATAAATACAAAGCTTTACCTAATGAATAACCAAATAAATGCAAATGAAAACAATACTTAGGTAATTGCCACATTCGAATAAACCAAGTTTTAATCTATGACAATTACAAATCAAGATAGGAATGCTCTTTACAGCTGGTCGGAGTACAAGTTTGTACAAAACTGAAAAGGAATTTAGACAATAGGTATCAAAAATATCAAAACCCTATGACTTATCAACTCTTTGACTTCTCAGAATTTAACCTATGAGAATAATCAGAAATGCCTGCATGGGTACGTATAAAAAGATGTTCATCACAGGATTATTTATAACAGCAAAAAATTGTCAACAACCACAATTTCCAATGGTAGAGGAATAGTCAAATAAAATATGATATCTCTATTAACATATAATGAAAATTAACTATAGGAGACAGTGTTTAGAAAGAATGCTTATAATGAGAAGTTAAAAAAGCAAGATGCAAGTAATAATATACAGGCTGATCACAACTAAGTGAAAAAAAATAGCTAAGTAATTATATAGAAAAAAGACTGGAAAGAAATATACCAAAAGGGTTAATTGCTGTTATCACTAGATGATGAGATTAATTTTCCCTTTTATATTCCTCTGTATTGTCCAATTTTCTGCAGAGGATTGTGCTATTTCTGTATTAAAATGCAAACACAGTGTTTTGTTAGTGGGTAGGACTGGGTATCACAAGGCACAAAGGAGGCTATTTTGGGCACGGGAGCAGCTTGCACACAGCATGGAAGCAGGAGGAACGCAAAGCTTATCACGGTCAGTGGGGAGATCAGTCATATAAGTAGGATCATTGGGGGAAACTGTGAGAAATAAAATGGAGCGGGCACAAAGGCGATGGATAATGAAGGCTTTTGAAAGACGGGCAGACAGGTTGGGACTTAGTTGTGTAAGCGGTAAGAGGTCTCTGGAGATTCTTAATCAAAGAACACGCTAGGAACAGCACTTCAGAAAGCTGAATAGGCAGCTGCTTGCAAGGTGGCTAGGGCGGGGTTGGGGTGCGGGCACCAGGGAGCAGGTGGGGGTCGTCTGGAGCAAGAATATCAAACAGGAAGCCGCATCCCCGCTCAAGGTGAAGAAGGCTGGACCCAGTGTAGGAACAGAAGGAATAGGGTAAATCCGAATGATGCAGTGAAGGGAAAATAGCATGCTTGGTGGTTGATTCAGTAGAAAGAAAATAGGAGAGGCAAGCGTGCATGAAGACACCAGTTTTAATCTGGACGGCTAGAAGAAAGAGATGACAGTGACAAGGACAGTAGGGAGACAGCAAATTTAAAAGAGAAAATAATGGAGATCAGTTTGAAGTATGAGTTTGAAGTGATGGTGAGACTTCTAAGAAAGTGCAATGCATTGACTCTTATGTTTTGGACCCAGGGGAAATTTTTAAAGATATTTATTTATTTGACTGTGGCATGTGGGATCATTAGTTGTAGCGTGTGGGATCTAGTTCCCCGACTAGGGATGGAACCTGGGCCTCCTGCAATCGGATCTCAGAGTCTATGTCACTGGACCACTACGGAAGTCCCTGGACCCAGGGGGAATTGTGACTTCAAGGATATTTTGGCTTTACTTATGAATACAAGTTTCTTATTCAAAATTTATACAAACACTTAAATGCTTTTCAAAAAGACCTTTTTGGGAAATCATTTCCATCCTGACAGTAATTCCTTGATTAATTTTCTATCCCAGATCAGTAAACTCTTCCCAAATCTTTCATTTTTTTTATTATTAAAATGATTCTCCTGGAAGCAAATTATTTTTTATTTATATTTTGTGATATTCCATCCAATCCTGTTTTTGTCCTCAACAGATACTATCAGTAATCTTAGAGTTTCTTTGTGACCACTATTTCTCTCCAATTTTTCCAGGTCAAATTTTTTAGCTCTAAACTTTACCAAGAAGACTTTATTATTATTATTTCAGTTCTTAACAATACGTGTGAGGAGCCATTTGCACTATTATCTGTTTTTTGTTGACCATTTCTGCCAGGAATTGGGTAAGAGATGGAACAAACACAGATATACAGGATCTGTGTACATGGCAGGGGTCAAACCATTGGAGTCAGAAGTGTCTTTCGGGGTCGTAAGATTTGTTTTCTTGGTTCCATGGTTTTATAGGCATTGAACCAAGGCAGATAGGGTTTCATTCAAGTGGAAGGTCAGGTAAAACAGATCCTGGCGTCTGACTCACCTGGAGACTTTGAACAAGCCCCTAAGGACTCTGCCTGCGCTTCAGTTTCATCATGGAATGGGGAAGGCGACAAGGAGGGGTGGGTGGCATGTGTCGTGGATATTCTGTGAGCTACCTCAGCCAGGGCCAGTGAGGATTCTTGAGGAAATAATATGCGGAGGTGGCCTCGCAGTGGTTCACAGAGTGAAGCAGGAGAAAGGGATTTCAGAAGCCCTTCATGATGATGATTCTAGCTTTGAATTCTCTCTTGGAAGGAAATGCAAAAGGATATGGATGAGAAGATGGATGTTTTAATAAATATACAGAAGAACAGCAAGTTGTAAGTACAACCTGCCCCCATCTCTCCTCATCCCTAAAGAGTCTCCTTCCTTTTCTTTGCCAAATGTCCTTGAAGTTCAGAGGACTCCCAGAGCCTTCAAGGAGCTGTCTTAATTTCTCTTGCCCCAGAGGCTTGGAGTCAAGACCCTCCATGGCCACCCATGCTACTGGTTAGTTCCTTTCACTTTGAAAATTATTCTCCCCAATTCTGCCCTTTCCTAAATCCCCAGTCCCTTTAGGAGAGGACTGAAGATGCAGCAAGAACTCAGGCTGATAGGAAAGACAGACACAGACTCACAGCTCCGGCTCAGGAAAATGGATGGAGCTGGTAGAGCACCACTCTCTCTTCAGAAAAAGATGGCACTGCAACAACCAAAAGACCCAGTGGACTCCCTTCACCAGTGCGACTCCTGCTTTGTAAGTGAAGCCCTCCCCACCCTGCCCCAGTGTTACACCCCTGGGCTTCTGGTCCCCCTACCTCCCCTGGACTCCCTCTCTCCCCGGTCCCACTCCTCTCCCGGCCGGGGCATGCCTCTCTAGTCTTGAATCCACTCTGGGGTCTTGCCCTCTAGGACTGGGGAGATTCTGAAACCATGACCAAGTAGGACTCAACCCTGGATGCGTCCGCTCCCAAGTGCAACTAGATTGTTCTATCCTCTCCTATAGCAAGACCCGATGAGGTGCCCAGCAGCCTGGCCATCTTGGACCAGGGAAAAATGATCTTTCTTGTGCCATTTCTGTCCTCCACAGGAGAAACGTTTGTTGTGTACCCCACAGAACAGCTACGATCAGGGGTAGGTAGATCCCTGCAAGCCCCTTGTCTCAATCGGGTGCCCAGTCATCCCAAAGGCGGTGCTCCAGGGCGCATTACCATCAACCCCAGCCTGTGCAGGCTCCGCCCCCACCGCATCCACCCGGCCTTAGAGGGTGTGGCACTTCGAGGAAGGAGGACTTGCTTAGCCCAGGCTGGGGGCTGCCCAGAGGCCTCTGTGGAGGGCAGGGTGCCTTGCCAGCTGCCCAGCTGACCTCGCTTCAGGCTCCTGACTTTCTCCCCATATAACAGGAAAGCTCCATACCACGCCTGGGCATCCTTTTCACCCTTGGCGTCTGGACCTGCTTTCTGATTTATCTGTACTTCTACTCCTGTGTGACCGAGGACATAGTTCCAACTTAATGCTGCCTCAGGACCCATCAGCGGCTTGGGTTCAGCTCCTTGAAAGGCTTGCTGCCTTCTTACATACCACCCTGCCCCTGGCTCCTTCCACCAGGAGAGTAAAATCTTCCTTTAAAGCCGAAGCAGGAGTCAAAGTATTGAATATCAGTCTCAAACTTGGGAGTGGAAGGACTATCACTTTTTTAGAGCAAAATCACTGTTTCAGACTCCAGCCTCTCTTCTGCTTTCCTGATGGTTCAGTGGGAAATCCTTAGGGTCATCCTTAGTGTCTCCACCGCCTCCCTCCACTTCACCTGGTTCTACAGATGTCCCAGGTCAAAGGGAAGGCCCTGAAGATATCAGATGCCATTCTGTATGATCCCAGGAGTGTGTGTGTGTGTGTTGGGCAATGGGAGGAACTCCTGAGCCCAGGGTCTAGCCTGCACTGCCTCCCTCTGAGGTCTCGTTTCCAAGCAGGACTTGAGGCTCCCCTGCTTGTGGAAACTTGCTCCCTTTCGGGGCTCTGAGGATCCACCCTTATTCTCTGGCATGTTTCCTCATCCACACCCCACCTGAAGGAGACCTTGCCCTTCAGAGGCCTTTAAAGGTGGGGACGAGCCACTGATCTCCCACTGCCCCATGCTGTGTCCTGCCCAAAATCCCTCCACCAAGATAAGGGGAAGCCTGGCTGCTGCCTTGAAATGAGGACCAAGAAAGATACAGAGAAAGGATTTCAACAAACTATCCTGCCATGGGTGAAATTCTTTGGATTCAGTTCAATGAAGGATGAATTAATGGGATTTCACGTTTTATTTCCCATTAGCTTTCTCTTGTTTCGTCACTCTGCCAAGTTGGGTGCTTCAGCTTTTGTGGTTTAGTTGCTAAGTTGCATCCGACTCCCAGGACCCCATGGACTGTAGCCTGCCAGGCTCCTCTGTCCATGGGATTCTCCAGGCAAGAACACTGGAGTGGGTTGCCATCTGATCTAGAAAATGACTGATCAAGTTCCTAATAGCTGCATAGTTATGAGCAGTGCCTTGGTGCTTCAGATATGCATTGAAAAAAATAAACAAACCCCCCCAAAAAACATAGATTTTGCCCTCAAGGAGCTTATAGTTTTAAAGGAGAGATGGTAAACAGGGGTATTAAAAATATGGACTATATATAAATAAGTCTGACAATAGTACAACTGTGATGAAACAGAAATAGATTACAAAAGGGAGAAAGGTGGGTATCACCCTCTGTTTGTTGCCTATTGCTGCTGTAACAGATGACACATTTAATGGCTTAAGACAACACAGAATTGGCCCAAAATCAGTCTCACTGGGCTACAGTCAAGGCGTTGGCAGGCCTACATTCCTTCTGCAGCTCAGGAGAATCTGGTTCCTTGCCTTTTTTAGACTCTAGAGGCTGCATGTCTTCCCCGGCTCACGGCCCCCTTCCATCTTCAAAGCCAGCAGTGGCCAGTCAAGTCTCTCTCACTCTGCATCACTCCGATTCTTTTATTTAAAAATTAATCTATTTTTAATAGAAAGATAATTGCTTTATAGTACTATGTTGGTTTCTGCCAAATATCAGCATGAATCAGCCATGGGTATACCTATGCCCATTCCCTCTTGAACCTCTCTTCTGCCTCCCTCCCCATCCTACCCCTCTAGGTTGTTACAGAGCCCTGGTTTGGGTCCCCTGAGTTATGCAGCAGATTCCCTTTGGCTATGTATATTACATATGGCAGTGTAAATGTTTTCATGCTACTCTCTCCTTACATCCCACTCTCTCCATATATCCCACTCTGTCCTCCTCCCCATCCCTGTGTCCATGAGTCTGTCCTCTGTGTCTGCATCGCCACTGTTTCCCTGCAAATAAGTTCATCAGTACCATTTTTCTAGATTCCATATATATATGCGTTAATATACAGTATTTGTTTTTCTGACTGACTTGACTCTGTATAATCGGCTCTAGGTTCATCCACCTCTTTAGAACTGACTCAAATGCATTCCTTTTTATGACTGAATAATACTCCATTGTATATATGTACCACAGCTTCCTTATCCATTCATCTGTTGATGGACATCTAGGTTGCTGTTGTGTTCTAGCTACTGTAAATAATGCTCAGGATTACTCTGATTCTTCTTCTGCCTCCTTCTTCCACTTGGAAGGACCCCTGTGATTACATTGAGCCCTCCTAGATAATCCAGCTATTCTCCTTAGTTTAAGGTCAGCTGATGATCAGCCTTACTTCCCCTTTGCTGTATAACAACATATTCACAAGTTCTGGAGATTAGAATATCTTTGGAGACTGATTTCTGCCACCAAATAGGACCCTCCAGACCCCATCTCTTGACTCCTAAACCTCCAGACACTTGGGAACATTGTCTGGCTCAATTCTGTGCTCAGTTCTGGTTTGGCATAGACCCACAAATTCGATACGCTTTCAATAGGAACATAGTTCCTCTCCCCTTAAGTGAGGATTAGACATAGTGACTGGCTTCTAATGACTCGAATATGATGGAAGTGATAGTGTGTTACTTCTGAGACAAAGTCATCAAGGACACGTGACTTCCATCTTGCTCTCTTTCGCACACTCATTCTGGGTGAAGCTCACTGCCATGGGGTGTGGACTCAAGCAGGCCTATGATGAGCGCCACATGGCAAGGAGCCGAGGCCTCCTGCCGACACTGGTGTGAGTAGCCCTCTTCCAGCCCCTGCTGAGCCTTGAGAGGACTGCAGCCCTGGCCATCGCTGACTGCCGCACCTCATGAGGAGACAATGAGCCAGAACCCAGATGAGCTTCTCCTAACTACCTGACCTGCAGACTCTGTGAAATAATAAATGCTTGTTGCTTTAAGTTGCTAGGTTTTGAGGCAATTTGTTATACAGCGAGACAGAACCCATGTGCCAGTTTGAAGACCTGAAAGAAGGGCATCAGGGAAACAGCTGCCAGGATCAGCTGAAGCGCTGAGTCTTCTTTGTGCAAATGACCGAGCAGTGCTAACCAAGCCCCGAGGCCTGGGGGCAGTGGTCTCCGCAGTCCCTGTCCCTTGACCCTGTCCAAGCTCCCCTGTGTCCCAGTTTCACGTCATCCAACTCACAGGCCGCAGAAGGGCAACACTGTGTGTTGGGGGACAGGTCTGCCTGGCTGTCAGACAGCTGTCGTGTCTGCCCTCGGGAACAGACCTTCAGGGAGCCGCAGCCTGTCATTCCTGCCGTCGCGTCCCGTGGGCCAGCTTTGCTGTGAGCTTGTGCTTTTTCTGTTGGTTTCAAGGTCACCTCATCTGGAAGGGAATTATGCTTAACCTGTCTCTTCTCTGAAAAGATGTGTCTCCTCTCCTGAGAACAGAGCCTCTTGTGGGGAGGGCGCATTTCCCCAACCTGGGCCACCACTTCTGCTTTGTGCTACAGGGCCCAGTTGATCAGAACAAGGTGGACAGCCAGCCTCAACTTGCCCAATTGATTTCTGTCCCTGGGAATTTGAAATTGGGATTTGGGGAGACTCAGTTGGCCCCCAGAACTGGTCTTGTAATTAGGAGCTGGGGAGACATCTGCCACTATTGGCCAAAGAAACAGAGAAAGGTAATCTACAGAAAAAATAAACCGTTTTGCAGAGAGAGAAGGCTAAAAACAGAGGAGTGGAGAGAAGTGGAGACTCGTGCAGTTCCGGAGAGGGGGCAGCAAGTACCACTGCCTGGCCTCAGCCCTGCTGGCCTGGTGCTGGCCCCTGGCTTGGCTTCATGAGAGTCTCTGGACTCAGACCACCGCGCCCATTTCTGTTTAAGCAAAGTGGCTTTCGGTTACAACCCAATAAACCTGAAATAAGGCTCCACGTTTAGAAGGAATCTCAGAGAATGGTCAGATCTTTTCAGTTTACAGTGAGGCTTCTGAGACCCAGAGAGGTGCAGAGAAGTGCCCTCAGTCACACAGCCCATGTGTAGCAAAGCCAAGACCAGAACTCAGGTTTTCTGACTCCTGGGCTAGTGCTCTGTGGCTCTCTGGGGCTGGTTGCATTTCCAAGGGCAATGAGATGAGATCAAAGGAGAAACAGACCTGAGGGTCAGCTGACTCTGGACATAAATCAATGGTGTGGCTGTAGGTAAGTCACATCACCTCTCAGACTGGGTGTTTTCATCTGGAATGTGAGTGTAACCACACCTAACTCAAAGGGGTGTGATGAGAGCTGGGGCTTCCCTGGTAGCTCAACTGGTAAAGAATCTGCCTGCAATGCAGGAGACCCCAGTTCCATTCCTGGGTTGGAAAGATCCGCTGGAGAAGGAGTAGACTACCCACTCCAGTGTTCTTGGGCTTCCCTGGTGACTCAGCTGGTAAAGAAGCTGCCTGCAATGCGGGAGACCTGGGTTCAATTCCTGGGTTGGGAAGATCCCCTGGAGAAGGGAAAGGCTACCCTCGCCAGTATTCTGGCCTGGAGAATTCCATGAACTATATAGGCCATGGGGTAGCAAAGAGTCAGACACAACTGAGAGACTTTCACTTCACTTTCAGTGAGAGCTAAAAGAGAACATATTTGGAGGAATTCAACTCTCAAAAAACCCAGACTATGATAACAATGACGATGAAGTCAGAATTGCCTTTCCCAGATTAAAAAGTTTCAGTTCTCCATCGCAGTTTCCCAACACCTAGACTGACTCCAATCAGAGTGAAGTCTACAATTAAATGAGATTTGATCTACTTCAATATTAAAAGAATAACTGTTTTGAGAGGAAGTGTATATTAGGAAATGAATCAATAAGAAATTATTAGATGGTATGGGGATTGAGACTGTGTCCTAGAGGACAGAGTCGTCCCTTGTAAAGCAGCATCCTTCCTTTGTAATGTCAGTGTCTGACTTCTAGCAGAGTGAGGGGCAAGTGGCTCACCCCAGCCTACCCACAGGTGCTGCAGCCCCAGGCCCTGACTCAAGGAATCACCAGAGAAAGTTAGGCAGGCAGGGCTGGGCCCAGGAGGAGGCCAGACTGTATCATCCATTCCCATCACTGCCCTGGGCCCTGGTATGACCCGCACTCACCGCCTCCCTTCTCCCTTGTCACGGGTTGCCTCCAGCCCCAGAAGCTGGGTGAGGGTGGGCTCAGGCATCCACCACCATGGTCAGGAGCCCCATCCCTCCCAGGTGAAACAGGTCTGAGTATATACATTTCCGTGGCAATGAACTTCCCACCCACCTTCCTAAGTGTCCCTGTCTGGCTTCAGGGATCCCTAGAGCTTCCCTGCACCCTCCTCAGTGTTTGAAAGGTGATTTACCCTCTGATAAGTATGACCAAGGTGATTCTGATACTTCCCTCTGTATTAGGGGAAAAAAAACCACAACCAAATCCAATCCAGATCTTACTCAGGGATTGAACAGTGAGTCTGAAAGCCTGACCCTAATTCCAATCCTAGAGGACCCAGAAGATGAAGAATGAGCCTTCAGCAGGTGGTGAAGCAAAATGTGCAAAGTTGCCCATCTGACACTTTAATATCAGTATCAGCTTTTAAATGTGACCAAGAAGCGTTCATTTTGTTTTTTATGGGTGTTGTGTCTGTGGGGAGATGAGCAACTCCAGGATGAGTCTAATTCACACAAATATTGCTGAGAGCAACTTGGTGATATGTATCAGATGCTTTAAAAGATAGGGAAAAAATTACAGATGGCTGCCAGGATTTAGCTACAAGGATACTCATCAGGGAGTCATTTATGACATGTATATATTTAAAAATCAGAAACAAAATAAATGGACACCCATTGGTTAAATAAATTGTGGTACACCCATAAAATGAAATGCTCTGCTGACATTAAGAATAATATGTTGTGAAATATATTTAATGCCATCAATAATATTGGTGTATTACATAGTATTAGAATATCATCCCATTTTTTAGTAAAAAATTTATATGTGTGTGTGTGTGCACGCACATAGAGACTGCATGAACTGAAGAGACTTAGAAAGAATTATACAAGAATAGAATAATAGCAGTGGTTTTCTCTGAGCAGTAAGATTATGACAATTTCTGATGTCATTCTTTGTGTTTATCTATAATCTCTAATGTTTCTACAAGGAACATGCATTATTTGTATAATAAAACTAACAGCTTTCTTTTCTTTTTTTTTTTTTTTAAGGAAGAGAAAGATGGCCCAGGAAGAAGTCTTAAGAACAGAGACAAAATCAGGTGAGATTTCCCCAAATGCTTTCTGATGAGAAGCACCTTGGATCTTTCTGTTTCCTGGGAGTGGCCAATGAAATTGTGCCCTTTCCAAGTGTTCACCCAGAGGAAGGGGGCAAATGGACTCCACTCACAGGAAAATTTAAAAGGAAACAAGGAGGGACTTCCCTGGTGCTCCAGTGTCTAAGCCTCTGTACTCCCAGTGCAGGGGGCTGGGGTTTGATCCCTGGTCAGGAAACTAGATCCCACATGCTGCAACTAGGAGTTCTCGGCCACAACCAAAGATCCTGCATTCCACAACTAAGACTCAGTGCAGCCCCAAAAAGGGGGGTGGATAATAGGGAACAAGATGAATGTGGGTAGATGCTTACAGCCATGAATACATACCCTCCCACCACTGCTCCCAGGGATCTCTGCACCCCACCCTCCTCTCTCGCCTGAGCAATCACAGTGCTCCTGGAGTAGAAGAGGATTTCCCACAGTCCACCCCCAACAAGCCAAACTTGTCCTTTTAGAATGCCAGTTAGATCATGTTGCTTTTATGCTCAGAACTTCCAGCATTTGCCCTTTTCTCTCAGAGAAAAATCCAAAGCTGCTGCTTGCAATGCCCTCAAGGATGGACCCTGCTCCTCCACACTCATCTGTTACCCGTTTTCCTCCCCCACCACCCCGGGCTCCTCTTAGTTCTTCACACACACCATGTACACTCTTTCCTCAGGCCTTTGCACTCACCAACGGTCCCTCCCATTTCTTCAGCCATCCATGAGGTCATCCCCTCAAAATTACATTTTTTGTCATTTTAAAATAGTCTCTATTTAGATTAAAAGTATTTGCATACATTGAATTTTGGAGATGTACAGTTCTGAGTTTTAACATATATTGGGTTGGCCAGAAAGTTCATTTGGATCTCCCCCATCTTACAGAAAATCCAAATGAACTTTAAAAAAAATTGGAGTATAATTGCTTTATAGGGTTGTGTTATATACATATACCCCTTCCCTCTTGAGCCTTCCTCCCACCCCCCTCCCAGGCCATCACGGAGCCCCAAGCTGAGCTCCCGGTGTTATATAGCAGCTTCCCACTCGTGATCTATTTTACCCATGGTAGTGTGTATATGTCAGTGTTCCCTTCTCAGTGACACTTCCCCAGGCTGCACAAACAACAGTATGCTCATGCTCACCGTTCCTCATCCTCCTCACTCTCCCTTGTTTGCTTCTGCAGCTCACTTAGCACCCGCTCACATCCTATCCATTTCACTTGCCTGTGGTCTGTCTTCTGCTCGAGTGTAAGTTCCTTGAGAGCAGAGATTGTGTTTCTCTCACTGCTCGATGTGGGGCCCATGGCAGTGCCAAGGGCACAGCAGGGGGCTGACAGACACTTGCCGGTTGGACACATGAGTATAAAGATATTTGCCATGTGCTGGAGACTACAGGCTCTGCACTAAGAACTTCACCGGCATCATTTCATTTTATTCTTACAACAACCCCATGAAGTCATTCTGTCTGTCTTTCTATGAGGTCACGTAAACGGTCATCTCCCCTATTTTGTGCAGGACGAAGCAGACTCAGAGAGAGAAGGTAATGAAAATAATCTGTCCAAGGTCACAGCATAAGTGGCAGAGGTGAGGTCAGAATTCTGCCTGAGCATTCTGATGTCAGAATCTATTTCCTCTACACGCTTGCTTTCCCTGTATGGTCCCTAGACCAGCAGCATCAGCATCATCTAGGAGCTTGTTTGGAATGCAGAGTCTCAGGCTAGAAGGCAGGCCTACTGAATCAGGACCTGCATTTTAACACGACTTCCCAGGCGACTCCAGTGTGCTCTAGTGTGAGAAGCCGTGCTGGGCCGTCCGCTGTATGGAAAATAGGGGGCTTCCCTGAGCAAGGGGCTGCCACATAGTCTTGGTTAGTTTGGCCTTGGGTTCTCTCCCTCTGCCCGCTACCTTCCTGCCCAGGAGTTCTTCAGTGTCTGCCCGGCTTTGGGGGAGCCACGATTCATGATGAGTACAGAAAGCTCAATGCCAGCCCCTGTCCAGGAGCCAATCCTGCTGTGGGCAATTTTGCTTCTCCCGCTTGGAGAAAGTTCTCTCAGCTCACTCAGACAAAATCACATGCGTCCCTCTTAAAACCAAGTGAGAGAGCCTGCTACTATCAGAGATACGGCACTGAGCCTGGAGCAGAAGGTGTTTCCACCTGACACTTAGGCACTGGGGCCAGGGAGGTTGTTAAAACCAGAACCTGCTTTCAATTAAATTATTAATGCCTGGGAGCCCACCCTGACACTCATTTTTATCACCAAGGGCCACTTTCATTCTTGACATTCATGAAGAATGAGCCTGTCATAAAACCAGATCCTCATTCCCTGTCTCACCCAAGCCCATTAAAAACAAAAGTAAACATTATTAAATATAAACCCAGATATGCAAAAACTGCCTTTGAAAATACACCAGCAGAGGGCGCTGTGACCCCATCAGTCTCTGCCCACTGACCCCCCTCCAGAAGCAAAAGCTGCAAAGAGGCAAGAAAAGAAATCACACAAGATTAGGGGTCTGGATCCTGGGTCCCACCCTGGCTTCATCTTTGGAATCTTGTGGGAGCCCAGGGCAACAGACACCTCTGATCTGTGCCTGCAGGAAAGTCAGTGGTCACCCAAATAGGTATGGGTTCCAAAAGTCCACCTCCAGATCTGGCCTTAGCAACTCAAAATGAAGTCACTTTCATTCATGCCGTTATTCCCTTAACCAGCACTTGCTGAGCACCTGTGACGAGTCAGGCACAGGGCTAGACAATGCATTTTCCCTATCAAGTGATGCCATAACTACAGTTAGAACCTGAGGCGAAAGCCTTTTAAGTCTTTAATAGAGAGGAAATAGAGCTAATAAGGTTATTTTCTGTTTCAGGGTCAGAGGAAAGGAATAGGGGAAGGGCAGTGTGGAGGAGAGGAAAGTGAGCGTGGGAAGAGAAGAAGAAGAGAGACAAGTAGGAGCAGGAGGACCCTGGGGAAGAGGAAGAGGTTGGCTTCCAGCCCCTGCCTGGTGCATATAAAACATAACCTTAAGAAGTTAGTCTCTGGCTCCCTCCCATTTTCCTTTCTAGATCCTGACTTGGGAATCTCTCCAGAGCCTTGGACTGCCCAGGGCTCCTGCAGCATGCCCCAACCTGCCCTGCCCATCATGGTCACCGTGATCCAGGGTTTTATACCCTCCACTCCCCATCCACACTCCCAGGCCTGCAGCTGCCCTTGTCAGCTCAGTGTTGGCAGCTGAGTCATCATTAAACTAACACACGCTGACTGGCAGCAGGTTGGTCCTCCCAGGGACATTGTGTGTCTTTTCAAGAAGACCCAACCAAATCCCCCACCTGGGAGATTCCCAGACAGTGGGCTGAAAAGACCTGACAACTTCAGGCTGTTTGTGTCAGGGGTGGTATTCTGGAAACAAAGCCAGACACCTGTTTGAGGAGGGCGGGGCGGTCTCACACACTCTCTTAGAGGAGCTGGCAGGAGGGACTTCCGGTGGGGGTGCTGGTATGGAAACGTCATTGGCAAGTCAAGGATTTGCAGGTCAGTGATACATCTCTGAGCAGTTTTGAGTTTTGTGACTGTGACTCTGTGTGTGTGTGTGCACGCACGTGTGTGTGCTGGGACGAGACCAGAGAGAGAAGGTCTGCAGGGTTGGATGCAGGAGAACCCCTGAGGCAGGAGCAGGGTCCTCCCAGAGCTGGGGCCTCGCTGTGGTTGACGGCAGCCTTGGACCCTGCAAGGGCCTCCTCCCAGGAGTACCTCCCAGCAAAGCACGCTCTGAAGATTTTGACCGCAGAACAGGAGGCTGCATTGCCCACTGCCCCTTCTTGATTCCCTGCTTGTGGGAGACCTGCTCAGATAGTCTGGCCTCTCTGGAAGCCTGGGTTTTTCCAAAGGGACTGCTGGTGGGAGGTAAGTGGACATCCAAGGGGCGGGAGGGACGGTGACAGCACCAAGGCCAAGGCAGACTCCCCCACGGCAGCCACTGGCCCTGCTGCAGGCGTCACCAGGGTGCTTGGCGCTGAAGCTGTCCTTCGGGATGAATCTTGGGCATCGGACACATGGCTTCCCTGCTTCAGCTGCCCACCCCCAATCCCGGGGCCTCCCGGAGGATCCCAAGTCAGGGCTTGCTGTTGCTCTGAAAGGGCCCACTGGCTGCACAGGAAGTGAGGAAGCCTGTTGGCTCACCAGGCCTGGGTACAGCAGGAGAAAGTGGTACGTGTCCACACAGAAGGATTTAAAGCTGATGAAAAGCCCTGCCTGGTTCACTATGCCTTTGGTAAGGCTGCTCTCACCACAGGGCACGTCCCCCCCATTCTACTTCTCAAAGCCCCAGCCGTTGGTAGTGACAGAGGTAAACTAGAGGTTCAAGGGAGGGTTCTAGAGTGGTGATAATTTCCTATTCTTGACCTGGGTGGTGGTGATATGGGTGTGTGCTGTGTATAAACATTTATTCATCAAACCGAAGATGCTAGATGGTATTGCTGCTTTGGAGAACAGTTTGGCAGTTCCTCAAAAACTTAACATAGAGTTACCACTATGACCCAGCAATTCCACTCCTAAGTATATACCCTGTAGAATTGAAAATATATGCCACACACATACACACAAAACACGTGCCTCAATATTTATAGCAGCATTATTCATAATAGCAAGTGTTCATCAGCTGGTGATGATTAACAAACAAAATGTGATCTGTCCGTACCATGGAATATTACTCAACTATAAAAAGCAATAATGTACAGATACATGCCATGACATGAGTGGACCTTGAAAACATGATGCTCAGTGAAAGAAGCTAGTCACAAAGGACTACATATAGTATGATTTTATTTATATTAAAGTCCAGAATAGGCAAATCCACAGTGATAGAAAATAGATTGGTGATTGCTAGGGGCTGAAGGAGGGGGAAGTAGGGAATGAGTGCTAATGGATACGGAATTTCTTTTGGGGAGTGATGGGAATGTTCTGGAATTACATAGTGGCAATAATTATACATCTCTATGACTATATGAAGGACAGTTCAAGTATACACTTTAAAAGGGTGAACTTTGTAGTGTGTGAATTGTATCTCAGAAACTGGATCTTGTTCTCTTTGATCTACGAATGTTATACCTTAATAATAATTTCTTTAAAGCTGAAAAGTGAAGATGCCACTACTCTGTTGCTATGCTCCTGGTTCTTAAGAAAAGTCACTGCCAAAATGCCGCCTCCTCTATGACAGCTCCCTCATCCCTGCTCTGAGCTTCTTCAGCGTTTAGTCCTGACACCCCTCTAACTACTTATCACTTGGAGAGCCTGGATATTCAGAGTGCAGCTGAGGACCAGCATGCCTGCATCTCTCGGAGGCTTTTTAGATATGCAGCATTTCAGCCCCCCAGGCCTGCTACATCAGACTCTGCCTTTCAAAAAGATTGCCAGGGAATTCACATGCATATTAATGTTTGAGAAACACTGATCTTGCAGGCTTCCCCCAACCTCCTCCTCCTCCATCCACTGCCTACACCTGAAGGCTCTTTTTATCTCTCCCCACCTGGTGTTCATCAACATTTGTGGATTCAGTGCTAGTGACTCAGAACTAAAGTCAATACCTACTCTAACACCAGGATGCTGCTGCTGCTAAGTCGCTTCAGTCGTGTCCGACTGTGCGACCCCATAGACGGCAGCCCACCAGGTTCCACCTTCCCTGGGATTCTCCAGCCAAGAATTCTGGAGTGGGCTGCCAATTCCTTCTGCAATGCATGAAAGTGAAAAGTGAGAGTGAAGTCGCTCAGTCGTAACTCTTAGAGACCCCATGCACTGCAGCCCACCAGGGGCTCCTCTGTCCATGAGATTTTCCAGGCAAGAGTATTGGAGTGGGGTGCCATTGCCTTCTCTGATAGTGTTCTCTAGTCATGTTTAAAAGATTCAGGAATCAAGTGGAAGAGACTCACACTGGTCAAAATGGGAAGCATCAATAAGAATATTAACTGCAATGAACTGAAACACATGTTTAAAAATCCATGAATTCATAGTAATACTAAAAACTAAACTCTGTTTACTGTTGGAGGATGGTAGGAAAGCAATTCTTTGTTTTGAAATGGTAAATGGAGGAAAGCAAACAATTATCTTGGGTGTGAAACAGTAGATAAACAGTAGTATCTGATTCTATCATTCTTCCTTTATTTATAAGCTAGAATACTTCTATGAAGGAGAAAGTGATAGAGTCAGATATCACTATTTTTAAACAGTAGATCTTTCAAAAGATTCAGGCATTGACCATCTGCAGCATCTAATATGGAAAGAGACAGACGACATCACATGCCTCCTGTTGGAAGAATATCCACCACTGAGACCACACCTGAACATTATTAAGCTCTAGTTACCAATTTACAGGAAAAATATGGACAGAGATCTTGTAAAATTATACCACAGAAAGGTTAGCAGCAAAATCTAGATTGTGGTTAAATCTACAGAATAAAGAACCCAGTGTCTTCAAAAAACAAATTACAAGAAAAAAAAAAAAGATTAAAGCTGTTGAAAGTCAAAGCAACCAATTTCAACAGATGAACCTCATTTGAACCCTGATTCAAACTGTATTCCTAAAAATCCATTTATGACAATTGGGAAATTTTAAAAAAATATTTGTTTTATATCAGAACACAATTGATTACAGGTGTACAGCAAAGTGATTTGTGATTCAATTATGCCCATAGAAGTAGCCTTTTTTTTTTTCCAAATTCTTTTCCCATTTAGGTTATTATAGAATCTTGAGCCAAGTTTCCTGTGCTATATAATAGGTCCTTGTTAGTTATCCTTTTAAAATATAGTAGTGTGTACATGTTAATCCCAAACTCCCAATCTATCTGTCCTCGTTCCCCACTTCCCCTCTGGTAACTATAAGTTCCTCTCTAAGTCTGTGAGTGTTTCTGTTTTGTAAATAAGTTCATTTGTATCTTTTTAAAAATATTTTATATATCAACGGTATCATATGATATTTAAGAGACAAGTGGGAAATTTGAACACTAGGAATTACTGGTTATGATACAAAAAGAGTTCTTTTTTTATTTACTAAAACTTTTACAGATGAAATAGTATATCTGGGATCTGCTTCAAAATAATAGAAGATGGGCTAAATGGAAGAGTGTGGGAAATGGAATCGGTTTGGTTATTTTTGGGGTTGGCAGATTGAGGGGTGTGTGGTAGTTCATGATACTAATCTACCTACTTTGGTGTATATTCAAAGGTCTCTAATATTAAAAAAACTAAAATGAACAAAAGATTTATAACAAAGTGTAAGAAAAACAAACATATAAACAAAACAGTTCAGGTAAAGGATCCATAATGAAGAACGATAAGATCACCTTTCTTGTTTCCTTCTCAACATACTTTCTCATAACTAGATTTTCTATAACATAATAATTTTCCTTCAGAGGTGTTCTACAGAATGAGACTCTCAACTCACCATCCAAAAATGAAGCAGAAACTTAAACCTTATGAAAACTCAAGGAGAAAGAACTGGTTACAGAAATAATTATGTGTGAGGCATGAGTGTAGCTGAACTCACACCAGAGGTCCACCAGCCGAGGGCAGGACCAAGCTGCAGAGGTGCTTATGACTGCACTGCGTGGGGAAGTAGTGTCTGTGGGTTTCAACTCTGCCTGCATGGGTGAATCACCTGGAAAGCTCTGGAAACACACGGGTGCCTGGGATTCTACCCTAGCCCCATTAAATCTCTGCAGGAGGCCTGCGGTTTCAGTGATTGCCAAGCCCTGCCCCACCCCCCCGAGGTAACTGATCCTGACACACAGCCAGAGAGAGAGAGAGAGGGCTATAGCCAGCTTGCTCATATTTAAATAGCTGGGTAAACCTGCTGGGAAATGCTGGTGGCAGCCACTGCCAGATAAATGACAAACTGAGCTGGTAAGTGAAACACTGGGCGTCAACATCTCTCTGTTTGCTGTGAGTCACCTGAGGCCGTTTGGAGCCACTGTGTCCAACCTGAGTCGCTTCTCTCTGGGTCTCGGGTGTGGCTGAGCTCCAAGGAGGCCACAGGTTGGCTCCTGTGGGCTCAGCCGTGGGCTCCTGGGCTGCAGATTTTGGCAGCACGTAGGTAGCAAGCACCTAGGGTAAGCAGCTGGCCCGCGGAAGTCGTGGTCGGGATTGAGTTGGGGGAGGAAAGGTTTGGGGGTCCACAAAGGTGGCCTCTTGCTGCATGCTGGACTGTGAGTCAA